CAGTGGGGCTGCCATTCCAAGACAGGTGCATGGTAGCGGATGTTACACAGGTCATAATGCTCTTCACAAATGCACGAGAAAAGCCGGCTAAAGAGAGCGTGTTTTCCAAAAAATCCCAACTCAAGTAATCGTAGGCTTTTTCGAGATCTACCTTGACAACCATGTATCCCTTTCTACCCGTCAAATTCCGCATGGTGTGAACGAGTTCTTGTGCAATGACTATGTTATCGGTGATGTGCCTGCCTGGGATGAAACTGACCTAAGCAGGGCCAATCAATCGCGGCATTAGCCCTTTCATCCTGGATGTGAGGACCTTAGTAAGAACTTTGTACACCACGTTCAGTAAACTTATCGGCCGAAACTCCTTGATGGTGCATGGGTTGTCGACTTTGGGAATAAGCACAATTAAAGTTCTGTTCAACTGATGAGGCATCTCACCCCCGTGCAAAACTTGACGGACAATATCGCAAATTGATCTCCCCACAATGGTCCAATGTTTTTGGAAAAAGAGTGCATGAAGACCATCCAGGCCGGGTGCTTTTAGGGGATGCATAGAACTAAGGGCCTGTAGGATCTCGAACTCAGGTACAGCTCTGGTTAAACGTGTCCACTCCTCCTCTGCCACCACCGGGAAAGCTACTGGCTTTTGCCTACAACCAATTGGAGCGGGCCTCGCCGTGTAAATATTTGTAAAAAAATTGATTGCTAATAGTCGCAAGGCTGATTGGTCCTCTATCATGGTCCCCTCGTCATTCCGCAAGGCTGTGATCTTATTGCGACGTCTACGTTGCTTAACCGAGCGGTGGAAGAAAGCCGTGTTACGATCTCCCAATAAGGTCCAGTCTCTATGGGATTTCTGCAACATAATCAACTCTTCTTGTGCTAAAACTTCCTCTAGCTCCGCACTCAGATCTCTTTCCATCTTGAGAAGTCGGTCCGTGACGTAAGCTTGTAAGTGACGCTGGACACCGCCCAAGCGAGCCAGTAGGCGTTTTTTTCGGTGGAAAATATTTCCAAAGACCTGGAGGTTCCACTTCGCGGCTTCAGTGGAGAAATTATTTGCCGCCGATATGTAGTCCGAGGAGGTCCACGAGCTTTCAACCAACTCCTCGAATTTGTCATGCAGTAGCCATGGAGCCAGAAATTTAAAAGGCTTGGGGCCTCTCTTCACTTCGTCTGGTTGGCAGGCGCAATGTAGCAAAAGCGGAATGTGGTCAGATTGGTGGCGCGGTAAGTGGGAGACTCTCGCCGAGCCGAATCTGTCCAACCATTGTTCATTGGCTATTATTCGATCTAACTTTTTCTCAATTTGTGGGCCAAACCAAGTGTATTGGAAGCCGTCAGTCTTGACTTCCAAAAAATTGTTCGCGAAACAAACGTCTGAAAAGCTTGTATCAAAGGCACGACCCCGCGCTCCTCCCCTCTGTTCTTTCGGACTTAAGGTGCAGTTAAAGTCTCCACCAAGGACCCATGGGGTTTGTATTCCACTCGCCAACGTGTCCAGTGCATCCCAAAGGTCTTTTCGGCCTCTTGGGTTTGGACTTGCGTACACAAAAGTGAACAGGGACTCCCAGGACTCGGACTTCACAAAGGCGTGCACGAATTGCCTGTCACACTTTATGACTGATAGCTCCACTCTATCGTTCCACAATATCCAAATGCCTCCCGAGAACCCTTGGGCCTCCACACGGAAGGAGCGTTCGTAGCCGCTTCGTTTCACGAATCTATCCGCTTTCCTACCACTCACACGTGGTTCGAAGAGCGCAACAATGTCAGGTTTATAGCTAGCTTTAAGGATAGAGAAGGTCTGGCTAAATGTCGGCGAACCAGCACCTCTAACATTCCAGAACATCGCACTCATTGGTAAAACTGAGGGAAGGTAGTGCTATCCACTAGCAACTACGAAAAACTACGGATTTATCTGGTGTCTCCGCTACCATGGTATCTTCTTGCACGTCTTCTAGTCCAGGTGGGTTATGTTGGAGAGGTTGTGTGCCCTCGACCATTGTGGCGTCTCCCGGATCAAGTACGATAGGTTTCTCTGATGTTTCCTGATTGTCCGTAATCCGTACAACCATGTGGTAAGCTGGGTCGAGGCCTGAGGCAGCTGGAATTACATGGGTCGATTCTTTAAGAGCCAGCTCCACCACATCTGGTCGGGTGTCGAGGTGTCCCAGACCAATACTACTCATTTGTTCCTTCCCAAGATGACCAGAGTTTGTGCCCGCTCGTTTGTTTTCCGCTGCCTTTGCAGGAATAGCCATTCCACTCGGGTACCTTTCTTTCGCACCCATTGGTTTGGAAGTAACTGGTCCGCTATTAAGAGTCTCGTGCCTAGGCTCGGTCACAGAAGCGTTCATAGTCCCAGAGTGTTCTCGTGGTTCCCCTACTTTTGCTTTCCCCCTATCTTTTTTAAAGTCGGACACGGGTCTCCAATTCTCTTTTACGCCACTTTGTGCCCCCCCGTTTTTTGTAGTGAAAACCATGGTTGTCCTGTGCTCCTCCGGCAAGTCCCCTAAAGTATCAAAACGTGTGCCCCCAGAAATGGATACCCCTTGTTGTTTAGGAGCCTTGGCATTGACTTCTGAATGTTTCCCTCCCCCAGCTCGTTTTCCTTTCTGCACCTGCATCCACGGGCCAAAGTTCGAGACATTTCGAGTCTCGGCTTCTGTTACACCAGTCTTCTCCTTCTCCGGGCCTGTCTTCTCACCCGAATCGCTAGTTTGAGGGGCGTGCTTGTCAGACCGCTCTGGACAAATCCCTATTTGGTGGCCATAGCGCCCACATTGGTAGCAAATGTCAGGGAGGCTTTCATACTCCACTCTCTGTTTTTTCCCTTGAATAGTGAAACTTGCACACAAAGGTTTTG